GTTTCATAGGGGTAGTTACATAGATGTCACTTTAGGGAGTGTTGTGGCTGTATTCTGTTTAGGTGTTCATTGAGTGGAGTATGTTGTGTTCTGAGTCTGAAGATGGTGGCCTAGTCCCTTCTTGTTAAATGGTTAATGCTGTCCTTAGGATCAGGACTAGCCATGTGTCTAGAAACCTCTCTTCCAGTATCTGCCATGGCCCATCTGTTCAGCCAAGTCTCTTTGTTTATAGCTTTTATAGGTGTTTTTGCTGTCTCTAGGGTTGTCGTTGTAAGTGGTTGTTCTTGTGTTGCTCCTTTCTTTGCCAGTCTGTCAGCTCTGTCATTACCTGATGTGCCGGAGTGGCCTGGAATCCACTGCATCACTATTCTGATAAAGGCGACTTTTTCCAGAAAAAATAGTCAACATAATTGCTCTCTTCTATAAAGACTTTTCCTGCAGTATAAAAAATTACAATACATCTTTCCCAGTAAAGACGGGTGTAAGACAGGGATGTGTTATGTCATCTCTCCTCTTCAACCTTGTGATTGATTGGATACTAAAGAACACAGTAGACAGGACATTAAGAGGCATACGATGGACTCCATTCACCATGCTTGAGGACCTTGATTTTGCAGATGATATAGTACTCCTATCACATAAACATGAACATATACAAGAGAAAAGTAACAGACTACACTGCACAGCAGAAATGGTGGGACTGAGAATAAATATAAAGAAAACTAAAATCATGACAAACAGTCCAAACCAACAACCAGTGACCATAAGTAACCAATCACTTGAAAATGTAGAACATTTCACATATCTTGGCAGTGTGGTGTCCCTACTGGGAGGGACAGAGGAAGACATACAGTCACGCCTGAACAAAGCTAGAGCTGCTCTTGGAAGGATGTTTCAAATCTGGAAATCCAACAATTACTGCAGAGGAACAAAACTCCGACTCTACAAGAGCATCATTTTGCCAGTTCTTCTCTATGGAGCGGAATGCTGGAGAATGACCAAAAAGGATGTTCACAAGCTGTCCACCTTCCACCACACATGTCTACGTAGAATTATCAAAATTTTCTGGCCAGATACAATCTCAAACACTAAACTACTTAAAGCCACAAACCAAGAAACTTTAGACAGTATGATTACCAAGAGAAGATGGAAATGGCTTGGCCACGTTATGAGAATGACTTCTGATATACCTGCCAAAACAGATCTCACATGGACACCAGAGGGAAAGAAAAAACAGGGGCGCCCAAAAACAACATGGAGACGAATGATGGAAAGTGACCTGAGTGCGGCATCTTTGACATGGAAAACTGCACTGAAGATTGCACAGGACAGGAAAGCATGGAAAGTCCTCTCTGAAGCATCATGTGCCACTAGGCATAACGCGAACTGATGATGACTATTCTGATGTTGTATGAGGTAATGAGCTGATCAGCATCTAGAATTATCTTAGCTATGTCAGTTCTGCAGCTTTCACTGCCCTTTAGTATATCAACCTAGTCCATCCTCCCCAGTAGCCTTACCTGCACGCCTAAAAGCTTGCCCATTTCTGTGTGCATCTGCTTGTCCTAGTGCACAAATGAGTATCCAGTTAATCAGTAAAAAAAAAAATATAACCCCACAGAAAATTAGTTAGTTAGTCTTTCCTCTTGTGTCGAGTGCGGCACATAGGGCAGAGGTCATGACTCTCCATGCATGGCGGTTCGTTGCAATCCGTTGTAGGTCTTGGATGTTTGAGTGGCCCATGAGCGAGCCTTCCCTGATGATAGTTCTACGTAGGGTTTCCCTTGGTCTTCCACGAGATCTTTTCCCCTGTGGTGTCCAAATGAGGGCTTGGTAAGGAAGTCTTGATTTATCCATTCTAAGGGCGTGGCCGACATAGTTCCAGCGGCGTTTTCGTATAAAATTAGACACATACTCTTGCCTGGATTCTTGCCTTATTTGTGTATTGGTTCGGAAATCTGACCATTTGAAATTTAGTATTCTTCTAAGGCATTTATTTTCAAAACTGTCTAAATTTGTGTCACAGAAAATAATGTCCTTAAATCTTGCAGAACCTAATCAGATATTTATTTCCAAGTTCATTTTCCTTTTCATACTTAGAAAAGATATAAACCCGAACGAAAAGTATATTGGTAAGCTGCACAATGTAACAAATACAAACAAAACGTGAACGTTGCGGCTATTGAGCCTTCATTCTTTTCATATCCTTTTCATACTGAACTTTTGTCAGCGTCTGTGGCTTAGGTGTTGCGAACGCACTTCAAAATCTTGGCGTGCTGGGTTTGATTCCAGCTGTGGTTGATCTTTTCTTGCGTTGGTTTAAACAGTGGTACTGATAGCTGACCGTTCAAATAGCAATGGCAAACTACTGAAAGTAAAACTTACCTAGAAAAAAACCACAACAGCAAATAAATGTGGGGTTCTGGTTCTGCAATGTCCAGTAAAGGATATGCAACTAACTATCTGAACTTTTATGCAACTAACTATCTGAACTTTTATGCAACTAACTATCTGAACTTTTATGCAACTAACTATCTGAACTTTTATGCAACTAACTAACTGAACTTTTATGCAACTAACTAACTGAACTTTATGCCACTAACTACCTAAACTTTTATGCAGGAAATTTGTTTGGGAAAAGTGATATTCAACAGAATTTAGAAAATAAGTTTCATGTTTGCTCAATTTCAGACAGTCTTCACCAAATCAGAATAACAGTCTACCGAGTATGGAGCTCATTTTGATATCCCTGATTATGTCTTGTTTTTCGGTGCCATGTTCATCAGAAAAGGTAAATACATTTTTTTATGTCTTTAATTTTGTAAGCTTTTGTGTTTACTCACTTTTTCTATATTCATTTTTTACAAATAAATCTGGGTCCCACGGCTGAGTCCACAACGATGGTGGACGATGTGGTGTTTGATCGAGCCACACACAAAAAGTGTACACATGAGTGAGCAGAGATGGAACTTGTGTATCATTTTTAGTGTAATTTTCCTGGCCTATTTTTGGTCATGTGTCATTGCCATCGTATTAAGCAGTAAACCTACTTCAGGCATATCTACATCCCTCTTTCCAAGATTCATACCTGCATTCCCTTCTGGCATAGATGAAAGCAACCCAGGAACCAATGCAAGTTTAAAATTTTAACCTTGCCCTAATATGGGAGCATTTGTTTGTTACTTCAAAGCCCAATCCCTTGCTGGAGTTGGGAGCCCTAGTATAACCTAACAGTTTAACAGTGTTTCTGGGACTTGTACCCATGTGATTCTCATCCGAATAGTGGCACTTTGTGTCACTAAGTGTTTATCGCTCATTGTGCATTCCTGGTTGGGTTGAATGTCACTCAAGTTTAAAATTGCCTACTTAAATCCTTCTGGGCCATGTGCCATAAGTGCATCTGTTCCCTTGAAGGAAATTATATTGTAGCCTTTTTCCCCAAGACAGCATTGGACCTTACCATGTGGCTTATCTCTGAATATCATGCAATCTTACCTTAAGATATGAGAACCGACTAAGAAACTATGAACAATGATTGTTTGTTATCACAAGATATTACCTCAAAACACCATGTTGTCAATACCCCAATATCCAGGAATCTTACCTTAAGATATGAGAACCAACTAAGAAACTGTGAACCATGATTGTTTGTTATCACAAGATATTACCTCAAAAAATCATGTTATCATACCCTGATATCCAGGAATCTTACTTTAAGATGCAGTGAGACCTGACCCAGATATTATCTGGTGTGATTCCTTGATATCACAAGACATTGCCCCAAGAAACCATGAGGCCTGATTCTTCTTCTTCTTTTTCTTTGTACTCACTGGCTGTAAACTCCAGCAGAAAAGTTATGCTTGTTTATTCACTTCTGGACACTTATTCTTATTCCAGAATTTAAGTCTGCGTGCACATCTGTTTTACTTATTTGTCTAGAGTGTTGATTCCACATCTCTCAGGCAGATGCAATCCTACTGATTAGTTGACTTTTACAACATGTTAGTGGGTCTGTTCTGGCTGTAAACCACAAGGCAATACTCCACCCAACTTTTAAGGGCAAACATAACAGAGGAAAATAGCACATCTTGACAGAAAAAATTGAGTGTAAAGTGTTACACTGTGAACTGCAGATTTCATTTAGAATGCTTTTTGACTGTGCCCAACATAGTTGTGTTGTGAGCTGTAGATTCAGAAAATATTGAGTGACCTGTTTCCACAAAACTGGGGGTGCCTTATTTGCTTAATTACATGTGCAACTACTGTTGAAACTGCTACCTTCACCGATTATAAACGGCATATCTGCTGTTGGACAGTTTGTGTTAGCCCTTCTGATTACATACTTTTGCATTGAATGGGTGTGTGTGCTAATCAATTTGCTGCAGCCTGTGTCAATTTTTTTTCACAAGAGAGACTGATGGACATTCTGTATGGTTGTCACAGGCATAGGAATGGAGCAACTATGAGGTGACTTGCTTTGCTATGAAGTTGGAACTGCCATTAACTTACCTTACCTAAAACTATTACACTTATATTTGTCTCTAAATATTTTTTTTGGACATTCTTGAAAATGTGCTGTTAATACTCTTGTGAATGTAAGAGCTAACAGATAGACTGGCTGGTTCAGCACCACTTGGTAGTGAATTGATCTATAACAAGCTTGATGTTGTGAGGAGGCACAGACAGATCATTACAGTCGGAGGAGAAAGGAGCTGCCAGGAGTTACCAGGGGATCTAGCGGTCACTCAACACCCTAGGAAAAGGTGAGACGGATATACAATCAGACAGTTACTGGTGCCATCAAAATTGGAACTCTATACTTGCTGCTGAAGATGGGGGATTGAACACTTATGGGAGTGCCCTAAGTACTATGATGTCAATTCCTAATTCAACATTCAACATTCAGCATGCATTATTGTGATTGAAAGATTTGTAATATAGAGGTACCATTTCTATATTTTGCTGTTACTGTGTATATTGACTGTTTATTTACTATTCAGGTCATAACAATTGGTGCATCACTCAGTTCAGAAAAGATGGAGTATGAATTCAAACAAGCTGTGAGTGCATTAAACCGGAACTTCGCATACACAAATGTTCTCTTCAACTCCACCTCCATTCTGATGGACAGTAACCCCATCAGATCAGCACTGGACATCTGTGACAAGTTGCTAGCTCAGCAGGTTTTTGCAGTGGTTGCCTCACATCCAAACTCCACTGACCACTCGCCGATATCTGTGTCTTATACGTGCAGTTACTACAACATACCTGTGGTTGGAATATCTGCCAGAGATTCTGCATTCTCAGATGTGGTGAGTGTACTGAATATTTTTTTTTTTCAGAGAAATGTTTCTCTGTCATAAACTTTAACAAAGAAGTCTCAAACAATAAACTGAGCAAATTATTGCCTGGCATATTCCACTGCATCTCTTCAGTGGCATACTACAGTAACAATAAAATAACAATGAAGCAAATAAGTGAATCCTTTATAACTCAAGTACAAATTAAAACACTCTTTGGAATGGCTATTGGCCTGCCAAGAGCATCACGTAAAGCATTAACTCTTTAACACAATTGATGATCCCCAGAGATCTCCATAAAAATTGTACTCGGAAATCAAGTAAATCAAATGGCACCGCTGTGAAACAAACCCATGACCTTCAGAGAAGGGGGCAAACGGCTTGACCACTTTGTCGTACTGACCTCCTCCATTCTGATGCTAATAAACACTTGATGGATGATATGGTCAAATCACACATGCCCCCTTTACTTTCCAGGAATTTGCTGGTGCCCATTTTAGGCTAGGTGGATGTGGGAATATAGGTTAAGTTTTTGTTGACTCTACCCAATGTAGATTTGAAACCAAGACCTTTAGGAAGGCATCTAGCCATGGGCTACTGCTGTATACTGAACCCTTTCAACCCATGAATTCTTTTGGAGAAAAAAAAATTATAATAAAAAAAAAATTAAAAATACATTGATCACAAACCCACAGGAATTCCTGGAAAAATCTCTAAAAATTAGGGCTGTACCGAATATTCGCTTCGTATTTGCTTCGGTGCCGAATAGTGGACCTACTCGCCATTTGGTATTCGGCCAAATAGTGGCGGTCGGGCCGAATACGAATAGTGATTTCTGCATACACTGCGATGGACTAAAATAACTCTCTCATTAATAATGTCACAATTTATAGCCGACTTTTCTTGATTTTCACAGCGGCACCCCTGTCATACGCACCCAGTTTTAGAACATCTGCTGTAATGCCTCCGAGTCAGGCGCTGTTACCACGCAAACGGGTCGCCGATTTTCCCGCTACGAAAGATTTAGGCATCACTACTGTTGTGTGAAAGAAGGCATGAAGAAACTTGAAAGTGTATCTGTGTGTGTGTGTGTGTGTGTGTGTGTGTGTGGTGTGTGTGTGTGTGTGTGTGTGTGTGTGTGTGTGTGTGTGTGTGTGTGAGAGAGAGAGAGAGAGAGAGAGAGAGAGAGAAAGAGAAAGCATGCATTTTTTTGTTCTTTCGGGGTGTCTTTTCCCAAATCAAATTGAAGATATTGCAAACGAGAATATGAAGGTGCATTTAAATTACATTGAACGAACGCCTGAATGAAAAATGATTTAAATGCGAATTTGGCACATGAATAAAATCAGATGAAAGATGCATTACTAAAATAAAAAACAAAATAGGACAGGCTAAAAATGCATTTTATATTTTTAAAAAAAGAACATCTTGTGCAATATATCGTTGTCTTGCTTGCTACATACATCAAGTTTTAACATATGGCTATGAGTCCTGGACAATCGGTAGCCAGGCCAAACAATTTTTTGAGGCCTCAGAGATGTGGTTTTACAGAACAATGCTTAAAATACCTTGGACAGCTTAAAAAAAGCAACCACTAGGTTTTGAAAGAGGCGGGAAACTGAAGACAACTAATCGCAGACATCAGAAGAAGACAGTCATCATATAGAAAGAGTGAAAATAGAACATGTGGTGACCACTGGAAAGATTTGTGGAAGGAGAGATAGAAAAAGACAACGAGAGAAGATTCTTGACAGTCGTTGCATGTCATGGAGGTGTGTCAGCACACAAACTGATACATGCTGCAGGAGATCGCAGATTGTGGCGAGGCAAAATCGCCACACCAGTCGGCGAGGCACCTGATGATGATGATACACTATTCGTATCCGGCCGAATAGTTGGTCCCACTATTCGTATTCGGCCGAATAGTGAAAACCACTATTCGGTACAGCCCTACTAAAAATACAATCATTATACACATGCAGATAAATTTTTAATCAATATTACATTTTGGGGAGGGGGGAGGGGCTGCAATGTATAAAGTTATATAAAAGAAGTAATCAATAAACTGAAACAGACTGAAGCATAAAGTGGAATGCAGTCAGCGAGGCCTTAAAAACAAAACAGTATGCCTCAGGTGACACTCTGTGACCTGTGACCTCTATCACTGAAGCTTATGGAAAGATTTGACACCACTTGGCTTTAAAAGTACCCACTGAGGTCATCACCCCCTCCCCTGCCCTTTTTACAAATAATATTGTAATCTTATCCTGACCTATAAAAGACTGCAAATATGCACAGAGAACAAATTTAATGACATTTTTTGAGAACAGTTCACTGCAGACAGGACGATAAATCAACATTTATAGGTCTGTGTCACAACCATAAATGACTAAATCTAGTATTCTCAGGGTAATGGTAAACTGAAATATTCAGTTGACTCAAGGTAACGATAATAGTAATCACTGAATGGAAGTATACAAAGCATGTGAAATACAGTGTAAAAACCATAATTGACAATGATTTTATCAAATCACATGATAACACCAAAATGTAATTTTACAAAAGACAAATGCTTTACTAAGCCAATACATTAACATATTTAATGACAGTCATAACATCAGATGGAACATATGTGACAGAGGTTACAAGTAGAAGAGACTAAGAAAAAAGTGCATTTCAAAAGAGAAAAAATATTTGGTTAAATAAACCATTTTCATTATATATCAAAAATTAATTACAGAATGGTTTGGACATGTGTCAAGACTACTACTAGACAGTGCTCCCCAGAGAGCCCTTCACTTATACATAATGGAAGCAGAGCTCTTGTGGTTGACTCGCAGATGATGGATCTGAAATATCTGAGGCCATAAATACCAGCATCTACATAGCACATAACAAGGTGCAAACTCACTCCAAAACATGGCGCTCAAAGGCAGAACAAGACCAGAGAAGAAAAAGAAGAAGAAGAAGAATGTTATATTAAAACTGTTCTGCTGTATTTATTTATTATCTTTCCATGATATCCACAAAATTCTTTATTAAAAACCAATGGATCAAGTTTCTTTATCCCTTTATTACTTATTATTCAACATTTGCAAATATACAAAATAAATTCCAATACACTTTTCAACATGTAGATATCTGTGCTTTTAGAATTAGTCTTATTGTTTTTGTAGTTTGAATTTACCAATAACATTTTAAGATTAGTTAAACATAATCCATTAAGATTTCAAGTGTTTTTTTTCTTTCTCTTGCCTAATGGGAATTGATTTACAATTTATTCACAGAATGTCCATAAAATGTTTTTGCGAACTGTACCCCCATATTCCCACCAAGCAGACGTTTGGGTGCAACTGCTCTTGAACTTGACCTGGCACAAAGTCATATTTCTGTACAGTGCAGATGAAGAAGGAAGATCAATTCTCAGTCGCTTCCAAACGCTCGCTGAGGATCATGATATCAGAGTAAGCTGCGTACTTTTTTCTGTCTCTGTTTTCTGTTTTCGCCTTGTAAAAAAAAACCAAGGTCCTGACCTCATTAGAATTCCATAAAAAATCCGATAAATAAGTAACAAATTTACACAGGTCACTAATAAATTTGTTTAAAGCCTATTTATCTACATTATATTTAAAATATATAAAGATACAGGAATAGAGTAATAAATAAACACAAACAGGTTTAAGCATCTTATAGAATACATCCTCTAGGGCCTACAAAAGAACATGTATCAAGTAACACATGCTGTGACCACATAACCTCAATTACTGAGGCCAACTCTGATGTCAGCGTGGCTTTAAAAAACGCCAATTAACTTCAAGCACCCCCTCCCCAGGCCCACACATAAACATAAATTCTACCTTTAGCTTATGTATTCATTTCCTGACCTCTTAATTGTTTGCTTAGGTGCAAAAACAGCCAATAGCATTAACTATGCATCTCATAAACAGATCACTATAGACAAGTACAAACAGTGACATTTGTGGGGAACTGGACCCAACAGGAAGTTATGGTTTTGTAGTTTCTAGAGAAAAAGGATTAAGCTGTTGGTTTGCTAATATCTGCCCCTCATTTGCATTTGAGTTAATCTTTGTGTCTTCATTTATATTTTTACTTCTGTTTCCATTTCTGTAATGTATAACTGTTTTTCATTTTCTCTGAGTATAAAAAAAATGTGACCAACTTATTATTGAATTGCTTCTGGTATTTCTTAAGTCAAGTAACATTTACAAATTTAATTTCATAATAAAGAAGTTGAATTTATTATAAAAAAATTTTCTGTATTAATTTAAAAAAAAAAGAAAAAAAAGACAGCAATTGGAACTTTGAAACCCTTGTGTGAAATCTGGATCCCCATTTGGGGAAAAGGGAGAGGGGGGGGGGGGGGGGGGGGGGGTGGGGGGTGGGTGGGAAATTAGAAAAAAAGGGGGAGGGGCAAATAGACCCAATTGCCAAAATCCCCTCCCCAACAAGCATGTCATAAAAGGTTACTAATTAGGGATTTGTTGAAATCTGATGTGTTTGGCTAAAAGGCACATATATCACAGCTTAGCTGTAAACCGTAACACAACATGTCAACCACACTCCTAAGAACTAACACAGAAGAAGAAGTAACTTATAAAAATATAGTGTTTAGAAACTTATTCTGATTTTCATTTTAAATGAGCTCAATCAATCTATCAGCATGTTTTTTACAGTATGTCACTGTAGTGAACCCATTTTCTCCTAGATAAATTATGTCCCAGACGGAATGACGTCAGCTAATAAATGGGAATGGAATACTCGAGTGTAACTAGGACAGGGACGTGAATCACACGGAGAAATGCTGGCCAAATGAGAATCATGCCAATCACAGGGAAATAAATGAAACTCATGTGAATCTCGGAGAAATGGTGACCAAATGAGAATCATGCCAATCACAGGGAAACAAATGAAACGCATGTGAATCTCAGAGAAATGGTGACCAAATGAAATCCGTGTAAATCAGAGAATACTGAGAAGTCGTAATGATAGGGGGGGGGGGGGGGGGGAGGTTATATAATGCCTCAGAGAGAGCATGTGGGCAGTCTCGTTTAGACCTAGGAAATGAATACATGAAGTATGGAGGAGTGTCTGCGGGATCCAGAAAAAGTGTTCAAGTCCAATATGTCTGCAGAGTGATTTCCAACGCCTACCTGGCCAACAATATTGGCTGACGGAAGTCCCGTAGCCAGCTGAGTATGTGTGTGTTTTTGTTCGGATGGATCCATCATTGTCTTTCAATTGCTGTGTTCGATGGAACGTTTATTGTAAGGTATAGTTGACATTTTTGGTGAGTCAGGATAGATATGAGTGATTGTTGTACCATAACATTTACTGGCTGCAGTACCAGTGAGTGAACAAATAAAGAGCGACATAACTTGTATTGTTCGCCAGCGTCCATGTTTTCTCGTGTGTTGTCGGTCAGTGACTGGAAGCGTGCAGTGACTAGAGCCAGAGAGATAAAGAACAGAAACATTGCAGTCACTCTCTTCATAGCATGACTTGATGTTTCTCTTTCTCTAGTCAGTTCTCCAGCCCTATGTGCTTTCATAGCCATTGCATCTTCAACATCCCTGTCCACCTTCGCAAAGTTTGCCCTCTGCCTCAGGTTCTAGAAATAGCACCTTCCATCATTGTTCTCTGCAGATCGCCAAGGTGCTTGATGTGTCAAAAATACTTCAGCTTTTGGGAAAGCATGCTATTTATAACCTAGCTATCCATGATATTCAGGTCATGCAGGATGTCAACGTTTTTCTTCTTCTTCATCCATGGTATTTTAAGAATATTTCTATAGCATCTTAAAAGTTCAAAAGCTCAGATTTTTTGTCTTCAAAGACTGAGTGTAATATCCATGACTGAGTGTAATATCCATGACTGAGTGTAATATCCATGACTGAGTGTAATATCCATGACTGAGTGTAATATCCATGACTGAGTGTAATATCCATGACTGAGTGTAATATCCATGACTGAGTGTAATATCCATGACTGAGTGTAATATCCATGACTGAGTGTAATATCCATGACTTAAATCCATAATTTGTATGAGCTACAAAATGTATTCAAGAAGGGTAAATCAGTCAGAGAAGTACTATTTTAAAAAAAAGTATAAAAGAAGGAAGATAGAAGCATACTGGAGATAATACAGTCATCCCCATGGGATTACATTTTTCATTATTTGAAGCCCCACCCTGGCTTTTGCTGGATGCCCTGAATATAGCTGGGCCATGAATGTGGCCATAATGACTGAAAGGGGTTTCTGGGACCTCTCTGCAGGTGATCTTCATCCACATGGTGGCACTTTGCGTCACCAGGTGTTTATCGCTTGTGTGATATCCTGGTGGGGTACAACAAGCAAGCAAGCAAGCATACTGGTTGTATTCTCAGATAAAAGATCTTAATACAGGCACTGCAATGGAAAACAAATGGATGAAGGAAGCAAGGATGACTGAAAGGCCAGAGGGGCTGGACAGGATTTTACGCTCCATTATGAAAGTATTTTCCTTCTTCTTTCCTAGTCATGTTCTGCTTTTGAGAGTCAGGTTTTGAAGAGGCATTTGGTGCAAACTTTGTTACGTCCTACATAGATGCTGGTGTTTACAACCTCCTATATTACTGCTATCCGACGACCAACAAACAAAGCGATGGGCAGAACATTTCAAGGAAATATTAAATAGACCAAATCTAGAAGAAGAAATTATTACACCGACACTAGTTGCCTCCAGCGAGTCATTCACAATAGAGGAGATTAAAACAGCTATTACAAAATTAAGAATAAACAAAGCTACCGGAGAGGACATCTCAGGGGAAATGCTCAAAGCAACGGATGAAAACACCCTGCAACATTTGCTCCAGCTGATGGATGAAGTCTGGCAAAACGAATACCCACCACAACAATGAAAAGATGGTGTAATCTTCAAATTACCTAAAAAAGGGGATTTATCCGATTGTAACAACTGGAGAGGCATCACCCTGCTTTCGATACCAGGGAAACTATTTTGTAGTATGCTACTAGAAAGATTGAAAAAATCTATAGATGAAAGATTAAGGGAAGAACAAGCTGGTTTTAGATCCAAGCGGTCATGCATCTTTACTCTTAGAATAATTGTTGAAGATTCTACAGAATTCCAGTCGAAATTATTGATCAACTTTGTTGACTTCCAAAAAGCCTTCGACAGTATCCATCGTCCAACACTCTGTGCTTAACATCTATGGTTTCCCCATCAAATATATCAACATCATAAAATTTTTTTATAATGAAACACGATGCTGTGTAAGAACTGATTCCAGCAATTCTGACTGGTTCCCGGTGGAAACAGGAGTGAAGCAATGCTGTGTCCTATCGCCGATGCTTTTTGGTATAGCAATCGACTGGGTCATGCGCAAGTGCATAAATAACGCAAATTTAGGCATTACATGGGTTGACAAAATTCTGGAAGACCTAGACTTCGCCGACGACATAGCACTCCTGAGTTCAGAACACACAGACGCCCAAGAAAAAATCAATCGACTCCAGAATTTCTCAGAACAAATTGGACTCCAAATTAACACCGCAAAAACAATAATTCTAGACCTTACCAACAGTTCAGTGGATATCACGCTGAACAACAACAGCCTTGAAAAAGTCAACAGTTTCACTTATCTAGGGAGCAAGATGTCATCTACAGGAGATACCGTACCAGAAATACCATTTAGAATAGCACTGGCATCTAGTGCCTTCAATAAACTGTCCAACATCTGGAAATCAAAGACACTTAGCAAACACACAAAACTCAAGATCTTCAATTCTTGTGTGATTCCAGTACTAACCTATGGATGCGAGAGCTGGAAATCAACGAAAACTCTAGACACAAAATTAGACAGTTTTGAAAATAAATGCCTTAGAAGAATACTAAATTTCAAATGGTCAGATTTCCGAACCAATACACAAATAAGGCAAGAATCCAGGCAAGAGTATGTGTCTAATTTTGTACGAAAATGCCGCTGGAACTATGTCGGCCACGCCCTTAGAATGGATAAATCAAGACTTCCTTACCAAGCCCTCATTTGGACACCACAGGGGAAAAGATCTTGTGGAAGACCAAGGGAAACTCTATGTAGAACTATCATCAGGGAAGGCTCGCTCATGGGCCACTCAAACATCCAAGACCTACAACAGATTGCAATGAACCGCCATGCATGGAGAGTCATGACCTCTGCCCTATGTGCCGCACTCGACACAAGAGGAAAGACTAATTAACTAATATTCCATCTGCATTTTATAAAATAAAGACAATCTTATACAATATATCTCTGTCATTGAAGGTTAGAAAAAGAATTCTTGCTTGCTACATACATCCAGTTTTAACATATGGCTGTGGGTCCTGGACAATCAGTAGGAAGGTTAAACAATTTCTTGAGGCCTCAGAGATGTGGTTTTACAGAACAATGCTTAAAACACCTTAGACAGCCAAAAAGAGCAACCAAGAGGTTTTGAAAGATGCGGGAGCCCATAGACAACTTATCACAGACATCAGAAGGAGACAGTCATCATTTTTGGGCCATGTAAAGAGAAGAGGGAAAATGAAATACGTTGTGACGACTGGAAAGATCTGTGGAAGGAGGGTTAGAGGAAGACAACGAGAGTACATTCTTGACAGTCTTGTTGCATGGCATGGAGGTGTGTCAGCACATGAACTGATTGATACATGCTGCAGGAGATCGTAGATTGTGGAGAGGCATGATTGAAAATGCCAGTCTGTGGTATACTATCTTGTGGTAGTCTTTACACATATCCAAGTCAGTCAATTTATCTGTTCTCTTGATGTAATTTAGTGCTGGTTCTGTCCTAACTTCTTTCCTGATATCATCTCTGATAAGATTTCACTGACAGGAAGAACTGAATACAAGCCCTGTGACCTTTAACCTTTAATCTGTGTGTCATGAACATGGCAGAATAGGCTGATGAAAGAATTTTTACCATAAAATGTTGCCAAACATGATCTGTAATATCAACACATATTTTGTTGTGTTTTTCTTTTATTGCGCAAAATGCTTTTCTCTCCTGACAGATTGAGCAGGCAGTTCGATATGCACCAGGGGAGAAAAACTATACAAACACTTTAGAGACGATTTTGTCATGTACATCTAGAGTTATCCTGCTTTCAGCTTCGTAAGTAATAGACTAATTTTAATTTACGAAGCATATAATTTAACTAATATGTCTTCTTCTTCTTGAAATGTAATCCTATCACTTGCTATAATGTTTAGCTCACCCCATGTCCTCCCCATCATTTTAGCTTCTCTCAGTAATTCCCATCTCAGTTTGTTTTGGCCTGCCTTTTTTACTTTGAACCTGTAGGTTCCATTGAGCAAAGACATTTTTTATATATATATATATATATATATATATATATATATATATATATATATATATATATATATATATATATATATATATATATATATATATATATATATTTATATATACTGTCATTGTGTGGCCTCATTGAGTCCTATCCAATGTCCGTCTTTTACTGAATTGACATCACAGCACTAGAGGCATTCCCATGTGCGCTCTGTTCCCATCTTAGCAGCCAGTGCAGAGTTCCAATACTGATGGTACCGGTCACAATCTGGTTATAGGTCCGTCTTGCCTTTCCTCTGAGTGTAGTGAGCCGGCCAGACCCTCTGGTTACACCCAGGTGCCTCATTCTCTCCAGGCCATAATAATATTCTTTCTCTACTGATTCTGTTGCTTGTTCCCAAAGGGCCTTGACCACATCTGCCTTGTCACGTATCAATTCACCTCCCAGTGGTTCAGATCCAGCCAATCTGTCTGCCTGTTCATTACCCACTATGTCGGCATGGATTGGAAAAAAGATCCAAAGTATGCTCACTACTTGTGACCTTCCCAGTGAAGCTTGCCACTCTGCTCGAAGCATCTCTGTCTTCACCTTTCTAAGTAAGCTTTCAGTGTCTGTTACAATTTAATTCTCTAAACACCAGAGAACTGTAGTTACTGCCTCCACCTCCATTCTCATGCTAGATGTTGTGATGACTAAAGATTTTCCATTGGCTTTCACTACAAACCCCCAGGCACTTCTCTTTCATCTCAACACCAAACTATTTGTATAGATTAAAAGATCACCTGGGCGTGAATTGTCATGAATAAACTGTTGGACTTCCACCTCCATAGCACCCACTGGCCACTTTGCACTCCTGGCCAAATGTGATCACAACCCTACACAGGTCAGACTTGTCCTCTGATACTCTGACCCATTCTTATCCTTGCCCAATGTTCTCCAGCATTCATACTTGTCTTATTGTGTTTTTTGCTTGAGCCATCTACAATTTTCCCCTTTTCAGCCTCTGACCCTTACCTGCAGCCAAAGCTTCATACAGAGGGTGTTCTTTGTCTGCAGCTACTCTGAGTTATGACTTTAGCCTGCAGCACCTTTAGCCTATCTGCAATAGTCAGCAATGCAATGGACGTATATCATGCGCACGATCGGGGTGTCTCTTGTTCATCCCAGGATCACCCACATACCCGCATAGCTTCATTCTGTATGTGCTCCAGTTTCTCTGGTTGACTCTTCAAGACAGTGAGTAACCCCAATCAGTAATCAATCACTAAGATGATTAAGTGCTGGTAAAGTGTGAACAGCATTCTCTGCTCCATGTCCATTGTTGCCATAATTTTTAGAGCGTTAAGACCTTTTTGAACCTCTGTCACAACTCCCTCTATGTGATTCTTGAAAGACAAACTTCTGTCAAAGGTGATACCCAGGAACTGCAGTCTGTTGTCTCTTTTGATGTCCCTACAACGGTAGCCTTTTCTGGGTTGATTACAGCATTCATCTATGTACACCTGTCGATCACCTTATCTACTGTTGCTTGTAACTCTTGAGCTATTTGATCCCGATCTCTTTATTTCCTATATATGAAAACATCATCTGCAAATGTCAATATTCTGCCAACTCCGCAATCTTGCTCGTAAACACATTTTCTGTGACTAACACATATTTCCTATGCTATTAAAACTCCTCTTGGCTTTCACATTTGTATTTTAATATATCTATTCCTGTGTCTTTCTATACATTAATGCTTAAAAGAGTAAAAGTAAAGTAAAAGACCTTCTAAACACATAAGAATACCTTAGGGTTCAATGAGTCAGCTGACAGTTCATCTGCATCTGGATCTTCGAGAGTTTTTAGGCATACAGGCTTTCCCACCAACTAATAAAAACATGGTATTTGATAACTATGCATTTTTTTTTACAGGAAGCACCATTAGAAATCTTCTTTTTTTTTTAACAGTATATTTTTTATTGATTGATTGATTGCAGTAGCGAAGATGCAGAGATCATATATATCAATGCTGAAAATCTCCGAATGACAGGGGAAGACTGGGCATGGATTGTGACTGAACAAGCACTAACTATTAACATTCCTGTGGGTTAGTGTAGTTGTGAATCAATGTGTTTACTTTTTACATTTCTATTTCTAAACACACTTGCAAGTTGTAACGTTTTTTAAGCCACATTGATGTATGCAGTGTCCGTGGCTTAGGCGTTGGAACTCTGACTTGAAATTCCAACATACCATGATTGAAACCCACTGCTGGCTGTGTGAATTTTTATCATGGTATAGGGTGTCGCAGGTCAACCCAGCCTAAAATGGGTACCAGGGAGGATGTCCTGGGGAAGTAAAGTTGGCTGGCGTAATGCTGACCACGTTTTGTGTGTGTTTTTGAGTAAACAAGGCAAGCCGAGTTGGGAATCACATGGGCATCACATGCTCTCTACAAAACCACCCAGGATTTGTGGCATGGAGAGAAAGCCTTCAGCTTTGACAGTGTAACATCAGAGAAGTTTGTAATCAACAGTCGAGTGAAGCAGAAATGTGTACTTGCTCCTACCTTTGTTGGATCATACTTCTCACTTCTTTTGGAATATACGTTTTGAGATCAGGAGGGTTGTATATTCATCCATTATGGGTCTGACAGCAGTTTCTACAATGCTTGTAGGCTGAAAGCCAAAACCAGGATAATGAAGGTACTTATCAGGGAGCTGCAGTTTGCAGATGCAGCAGCTATTACCACCAACTCAGAGGAGGAACTGCAATGTTTACTATTTGCATTTTCTCGTGCGTGTTGTAAATTGAGACTAAAAATCAGGAAAAAAGAGTCAGCTTGCTTGTTGTACCCCACCAGGACATCACACAAGCAATAAACATCCGGTGACACAAAGTGTCACCATGCGGATAAGGATCACTGGTGGAGAGGTCCCAAAAACCCCTTTCAGCCAATAAAGGCCACATTCAGGACCCCCTGCAAAAGTCTGTTGGAAACAGCACAGGCAATCAAATTGACCATTTAGGAGAAAGCAAACAATGCAGAAGTGCAAACAAATCATGACGGTGTGGAGAGAATGATGCTGCAGTGAGTGGCTGGGTGATCTGGCTGACCGACACTCAATTCACAAGGAAAAGATGAGGCACACACACAGACTGCTACTGGTACTATTGGAATTTTAACTTTTTGCTGGCTGCTAAAGGTAGAGACAGAGTGCTTATGGGAATGTACTGAGTGATATGATGTCAGTTCCTAACTCTGCTCTCTACTTAAATATGATGTGTTTGAAATTTGATCTTCGATATATTTATCTTTGTTGCTTGTATCTGATCTTATTTCTGTTTTGTTTTGTCTGACCGGCTAGGATTTCTTGGGCTACATCTGGTCAATGGCACCAATGAGGTTAACCATATCAAAGATGCTGTGGAGGTTATAGGTCAAGCGTTTGCGAGACTGCTGGCCAGGGAAAATATTTCTGATCCACCAAGAGAGTGCAAAGATGTTGACAGCTGGGATTATGGGGAGATAGTCTATGAGTAAGTAGGTTTTAACTGATATTCAAGTACCATCTTCATTATATTGGGAAACTTCATCCCAGTACCCCCAGATCATACTAGTAGATATGTAAATAAATAAAAAATATCCCAGTTTGAGTTCCATGGCCCCATTTTGGGTTTTAAAAAAAACATACCTGCTACGTCCCTAACAAGCATATTGTATAAGGCGTCTAATTAGGAATTTGTTTTTCTCTCTAAAGCTAGAGTACATCTGCCTGAGAGGCGAGGAATCACCAGCCCGCATACAAGTAAGCCAGATCTGAATATTGTGGATGTGCATGCAAAATTCAAGTTGTGGAACAACTCTAATGTCCAAAAGTGGATGAACAGCCACAACTTTTCACTGGAGTTTACAGCTGGTGAAGGTGAAGAAGAAGAAAAAAAAAAATGAAGGATTCCTTTTACTCTGTCAGCATATCTGGCATGTTGTGCCAGACTTATTTTTGTATAGACCAATCACCACTCCCTAGATTATGTGGTGAACATCATAGTAGTTACCTTTACATCTCAGGACATGTCTTGGTACCTGTTTCAGGTTGGGTCGACCTGGGAGTCCAGATCAATTATGGTAATTCTTTCTGAGTTTAGATTCAAACTCAAAAACTTTGATTTGAAAGACAGTCATCTAGCTACTACACTACCATGGTTCCCAAAAGGAGTATTAAGCAGTCACAGTTCCACCTTTATAGCACAGGTAGTGAATGGTTCTCTCCATGGTTACTCGGTTTCTAGACAAATTTGCAGGGCTTTTGCCTATATGGCCTACTCTTTATAGTTTCTAGTGGCTAAGGAATTTGTAAGGGTACAATTAGTATATGATACATTCAGCTTGTTTGCGCTTGAGATGGGTGTTAGGAGTAAAACAGACAATACAGAAATGCAACATGACAAAAACAACAAGCTATACACCTAGCAAATGGCAGGAAACTACACATGTTATTCCTCTCTGCAATGCTTTGCTACATAAGCAACAGGACAAAAGAAGAAATATGTTTTCAGGTTCCCTATAAAGTAAACAAGGTTTTTAATTTATAACGTACCCCAAATACGAAATCCCCATTATTTCAAGGGGTGGAAGTGTGCTGTTGTGTGGTGCTTTTTTTGAATGTTCATCTAGTGTCTTCTAATGCTAACCCTAACCCTAAAATTGGCTGTAGATAAATCGCGAGAAACTACAACCTGAACACCCTAGAATTTATTGGGAATGTCTCCCGTGACGTTGTCGTGACGTCAGGGGTAAGTTATAAATTAAGTACCGTAAACTACCCTTTTCCTTGCCTTCAGGCATGTTGGGCTTATAGGTGCCAGACCTATTTTTTATAGACCAATCAGTGCTCGGTAGGTGATGTGGTCACCATCCCGCCGGGCATCTTTACTTCCCGGGACTATACCTGGTACCCACTCAAGGCTGGGTCGACCTGGGAGCCAAGGTCATTTTGCAAAACTACCAAAGTTCTGTTGAATGTTGAATTATGAATTGACATTATAGCACTCGAGAAACTCCCATAAGCGCTCTGTGCCCATCTTCAGCAGCAAACAAAAAGTTCCAATTCTGATTTCACCAGTAACCGTCTGATTGTATATCTCTCTTTTGTTGAGCATCAACCAAATCCCCTGGCAACTCCTCGCATTCTCCTCAGAGCTGGAGCTATGGAATGCATACTTTGTGCTTGATACCATCTACCAAAACTAAATGATCATCCAGTTTCCTTGCTGACTAGTGTTTGGCAATCATGTTTTGTGATCTTCAGCAGCAGCATGTACAGTTTGTATGCTGACAACTTTGAATGACATGACAAATAAGCTATGAAAAATCTTATTTTTCTATCTTCCTCTAAATTTCAAACCATAAATCTTTCAATTGTCTTAGTATGTTCCAGTTTTTCCTATAAGATAATGTGGTCACAAAGTTATTTTCCCTTCTGTTTGATTTTTTGTGATAGGGTTATTTCATTGCTAAGCCCCCTTTTAACACATTTTGACTTTTTGTCCAGATAATTTTAAGTATTCTGTTGCAAAACCACATCAGAGATCTCAGTTCACAGCCATTTAAAAAAAGTTCTAAATGACATGCAGGAATTTATTTTGTAACTTCCAATGACAACACACTAGAGTAAAGGTAAAGGTTAGTTGCGTATCCTCTACAGGACGTTGCAGAACCAACCCCATCAGCCCCTGGCTGTTGTGTGGTTTCACTAGGCAAATTTACATCCAATAGTTTGCCATTGCTTTCTGGACGTTCGGCTCCCTGATACCACCGTCAAAACCAACGCAACGCGTATGGCCCGCAGCTGGAATTGAACCCAGTACCCCGGCATTACGAAGTGGTCGCATCGACTTAGCCACAGAGCCGAGGACAACACACTACACACTTTAAAATAGCTGACGTTCTTTTTGAAACAACTTATTTCAGTCAAGTGAAGAAACCTTTTTCCGTGCCTTTAGCCATATAGGACATATATTGCTTGACCTATATTTTATAGACCAATCAGCACTCAGTGAGTGATGTGGTCAGCATCATGACGGCTGCCTTTACTTTTCCGGACTTCACCTTGTACCCACTCAAGGCTGGATCAACCTCGCAGCCAATGTCATTAAAAAAAAAATTTTGTCTGGCTGTTTTCGGATTTGAACCCACAACCTTTTGATCTGCACGGGAGTGTCTAGACACTACATTATGGCAGCTTGCCCCTGTTACAGTCTATTGGCATAAATACGAAAGGCTGAGACTGTACACCTTGGATGTAAATGTCTTACAACATATAAATCAACATGCATGCCGACACTGAATAAGATTCAAACAGCCTAAAATCTTCAAAATGAAAACCCTCAATATAAGGATGCAGACCATTACTGCTGCATGTTATAAATGTTCTTTATGTATTGCTAACAACTTGAATATATTTGAGAGTAGAATTTTCATCATCATCATCCATTTGAATTGGTCAAGTTCAACCACTACACAGAGAGCTAGTCTCTCCTAGACAGCATTCATTATAATTTTGGCTCCTGTTCCTGCTGTTATTTCATTGTGTTTCTTAGTGTTGGTGGTTCTAACTTCCCATATCTGTTGAGCCAGGTTTTCTGCATGTTGTTTGTAGGGGCGGGTTCTTAGTGCTGATTGGTTAGTTTGGTGCTCATCATATTGCTGAATTATAGGGTATAGAAACATCTTAGAAGTAGAGCATTTATTTACAAATAAATGCAGTAATTTCTATATATATGTTCTCAATGTAAGACTAATGATTTGAATGCATTGTATGTAGAGCTTTAATAGAGACAAAGCTGAATGGAGAGACAGGACAAGTAAGCTTCAGTCAAGAAGGTGATAGATTAAACTCAATGTATGAAATTATGAACATCAATAGCAACAGAAGACCAATGTCTGTTGGGTTGTTTGGCCACAAAGAAAAGGTAATCTTGTCGTCGTCGTCGTCGTCATCGTCGTCATCATCATCATCATCATCATCATCATCATCATCATCATCATCATCATCATCATCATCATCCATTGAGCCATTTCATGTCAAATATGGTTTGCAGTTTGTTCCTTCATTCCATCTACCCTGTGCAGTCATTTTACTGTTAATGAATCCAATCCAATAACTTTGGCCCCTATCATCTTCTTCTTTTCTTGAATGTTAAATTAAGAATTGACATCACAGCACTCAGGAAACCTCCATAAGTGCTCAGTCCCCATCTTCAGCAGCAAGTAATGAGGTCCAATTCTGATGGCACCAGTAACTGTCTGTATATCCATCTCCCCTTTCCCCTGAGTGTTGAGCGCCGGCCAAATCTTGTAGCTCCTCACAGTGCCGTTCTCCCCAAACCGGAATGATCTATCTGTGCCTACTCACTGTTCAATCACTCCCAAAGAGCCCTCACAACATCCAGCTTGTCATACATCAGTTCACCACCAAGTGGTGCAGAACCGGCCAGTCAATCTGCCTGCACATTTCCCAGTACACCAGCATTACCTGGAGAAAATATTCAATGGATGCTAACTATCCAGGATCTCTGAAGTGATTTTTGCCACTCTGCACTGAGCGTGCCTGTCTCCACCTTTCTGAACATGCTCTGTGAATCAGTTACAATCACTGCATGTTTGTACAGCTGATTCTTAAGCCAGCTGAAGGTAGCAATGACTGCCTCCACATCCATTCTCAAACTAGATGGTGTGATATCATATGCCAGGCTTTACTACACCAAGTGACGTCCATTTGCTTTGAAACCCTATGCACTTCGTCTGTCCCTCAACACAGAGCCATCTGTATAGATAATCACATCACATGTGTGGGAATTGTCATGAATCATTTGTTAAACTTCTGACTCTGCAGCATCAGATGGCCAGTCCCTGCACTCATGACTCAAAGGGATAAGAACCCTACACAAGTCTGAAACTTGCTCAGACACTTTGACCCACTCCTCTCCTCGCTTAAATTTATCAAGCCTGCACACATGTCAAATTGTGTCTTCAGCTTGCTTCATCCAAGACCTTCCTTTATTCAGTCTCTGACCCTTAGCTTCTTGTTTGCAGCTACTCTGAGATATGACTTTGCTTGCAGAACGTTGAGCCTATCTGCAATAGTAGGCAGTGCAAGCATATATAGCATACAAACTAACGGGTATTTCTTGTACATCCCAGAATCACCCAAATGGCTTCATTCTATATGTGTTCAAGTTTTATCAGCTTACTCTTTGATATGGTTAGCATTCCAAGACCATAATCTATCACTGACAGAATCACATGCTGGATGGAACATTGTGAACAGCATTCTTTGTTCGATGACCATTGCTGCCATAATTTTGAGAGCATTTAGTCCTTTTTGGCATTTCAACGCAACTGTCTGTACATGTTCCCTGATGGACAGACTTCTATCGAAAATGACACCCAGTTTTCTTTCTCTTTTGATGTTATTGTCATTAATTTTGAGACTTGGTACATTAGTTCATACAATTTTATTGTCCAGAGAGCACCACAAAACAGTTGCCTTTTCTGAGCTTATGACAGCACCCATTTCTGCACACCAGTTAGTTACTTTGTTTACAGTTGCCTGTAGCTCTTAGGCTATCGGTTGCCTATCACTTCCCTGCCTATATGCAAGAACGTCATCGGCAAATGTTAATTTCCTTACAACACCTGGTGCTTCAAGTTCTGCAATCTTGCAGAAAAGAAAACATTGCAGAAAACATCAAAAGCTAAAGTAGCTGCATTAGACCATGTATCTTTCCGTGGCTTTGGCAGCAGCTCTTCTTTTTTCAAAAACATTTGTAGTTTTACAGCAATAATCTTCTCTAGCACTTCCCCAAAAAGTATTTTGTAAGGTGATAATCCTAAAACCGCTGAGTCTGGAATGATCTTTGCCTGGTTTTTAAAGTGTGATCAGGTAGCTGTGTACCCAATCCTGGGGTACTGACGCTATTCTGACGCTCTGGTTAAAGTGAAATGTCATCTCCCTCAAGTTTTCACTACTCATGCTCTTCATATGGGCATACCTCACTTCGTCTGGCCCTGGCGCAGTGTCTTTTGCTTTATTTGCAATACATATTTTATATCCTTTGCCCTAATTATATCCTGAAAATAATTGTATAGTATAAGACAGATTATCTCTAACTGAATTTCATTATGATCAGTTTAGGCTATAAATCTCTTAAAAAATACTTCCCCTTTTCTTTTTGTCTGTTGTCCTTGGCATACGATTATCAGTTTATATAAGCCCCATTGTAAAAAGCCGATCCTTTCTAAGCATCTTTCTGTGCAGTTTCCAAAACCTACTTAGTGATTTATCCACTCCAATTTCGCTCATAAATTAAATGTTAAATAGGCTGTAATATTATATTATATTATTATATGAAAGAGAAGAAGGACGTAGAGCATGATGTAGACCAAGAACAAGATGGAAGGATAACATCAGAGAAACTCTACAACAGCACAATGTGCCTATGGTCGAGGCGGCCAGAAGAGCTAGAAACAGAACCTTATATCTCCCTCGACACCCACAGCGGTAAAAGAGGAAGTGAAGAAGAAGAGAAGAAGAAGAATATTTTCCTTTTAAGTTTACTTAGCTCACTGAACTGTCAGTGAAGGGGTAAGAGTATTATTGAGGTATAAAGACCTTTGCTTTATTTATCTACAGATCATAGGATTGAGGATGGTTGGCAATAATATTACCTGGCCAGGTAACACTCATATCAAGCCTAAAGGAGAGAAAATCTCTCGTAATCTTGCGGTAATTATTTTAAATATATAATCTCAGTATAATAAACATGGCCAACACACCTTGTATATACATTTTTTCCTTTATAAATCTTTGTTTTTAACTGGTCATTTCTTGTAATTAATTTTAAGAAATTTGTTTATCACAAAGCAATGATCAAATGTTCATGCTCAAATCTAAGACATTCCATTTAGAAATACAGATCTTTTGTGAAAATGTTAAATGTATGATTGAATGCAATGAAAGCATATTATATTTAGGGAAAATAAGATTAATGAGATAAAATTTTCATTATCTTTTCTCAGAAACTAAATGGAGAAATGAGTTACATTTATTTTTAAGAAGTATTTATTTTCTAAAAATACCTGTATATATGATTTTAAAAATAACGAGCAGATTATTGGCTCTTAACACATTGAACATATCACTAAATATATGTGGCCTCAAATCTTCAAACTCAAGATCCCTTACCTTCTGCCAGAAACTGTCAGTACTGCCTGAAGTTACCACTTTTTTTATAAATATTTGATTACATTATCTATTACAAGTATTTTGTTACACCAACCTTGAACTGAGTACGTTTGTTACATTAGCTGTTATATTATATCACAAACTTTTAATTTGACTATTCTTTTACATTATCTGTCAGATTGTAACACTAAAAGAGAAGCCATTTGTTGAAGTTCTACCACTTCCCAAAGATGGAATTTGTCGTCCTGTTGGTCGTGCCCAGCATGCCTTTCCTTGCAAGAATGAAACTCAAGGTAACAGGGGTAACATCAATACTTATGCATGTTCATACAAATACAAGACAGATGACCAAGAGGGTGTCCTAAAAAATTTTTTTTAGCCAAGTCATCTGTTAAAGTTTTGGTAATGCTAACATTTTGGCTTTACCTTATTGGTCAGTATCCATATGTGCATCTGACTTATCCCACTGCTATTATCCAAAGCATCCTCAATTTCCCAGAGTTGTGTGACATACTCTTTGAGGAAGCTGCCATATTTCTTTATCTAAAGCTCTCCATCACTGACTAATTCTGTAAGCATTGCTGGTTGTGGTAAGTTAGATCAGCAGACTGGCAGGTGGGACCGAACATTCTGCCCTGATATGTATGTATGTGTGCCTTCAGCATCACACAGGCCATTGGCCTATCAGCAGCAGTACTTACACAGACCTCAGCTGCCATAGAAGTTTGTTTGTTGTTGAATACATAGAGGTTGTGTAGAAATTCCTTCCATTTTGGTGCATCCTGTGATGTCATCATATCTGAGATGAGATCTGAGCCATAACTTTGTTACTTTAAATTCCTGTGAGCCACACTCTTGTTACTTTAGTTTTCCTCTATCTTAAGCCATTGTTACAATAACTTTCTATGATCCACACACAGTTATTTCATCTGAACCTTATCTTTTCTTCTTCAGCATTCCGAGTCCTTAAGGTTCATTGCTGCAGATATCAGCCACCTTCATTCATCTCTTTGGTTGGCCTTCTCTTTCCAGTTAGTGACACCAAGTGTTTGCAGGTGTGTCTGGATATTATCTCTCCATCGTCTTCTTGGTCTGCCTCATGGTCTATGACCATTTATCTGCCTCATGTATATAGTTTTTATTTCTCTGTCATCTGACATTCTTTCAATATGCCCCAACCATTTTAGTCTATTAGATCTCATGATGCCAATGATCAGTGGTGATTTAAACAGATTATGAATTTTGTTGTTGCTTCTCACTCTCCATTCCCCCCTGTTTGTATCTTTGATGGGTCCAAAGTTTTGTCATATGAGTCTGTTTTTGAAAACCTGTAACAAGGCTTCATCTCTTTAAGTTGTGCTCCAAGTTTCAGAGCCATATAAAATGACTGGTCTTAAAACATTTTATATATTTTGATCTTGGTATTGCGAGACACTTTGACTTTAGCAGATGTTGAAGGGCATCGTATACTTTATTTCCAGATTGTATTCTAGATTGTATTTCTTCTCTCAGCATGTTGGAGCTGTTGAAGCTTGCACCCAAGTACTTATATGTTTCCGCTCATTTGATTTTCATATTATCGACTTGTATGTGGCTGGAGTTTATATCCTTTCCATGTCTAGTTATTATCATGTATTCTGTTTTATCTTGATTGATAACCAGTCCCATTTTCTGTTTTCTGTTTTTTTTTCTGCTGGCTTGAGAATCAGCTGTACACACATGCCGTCACTGCAACTGACTCACAGAGCATGTTGAGAAAGGTGGAAACAGGCATGCTCTGTGCAGAGTGGCAAGCATCACTTCAAAGGTCCTGGGTAGTTAGCAGGCATCTTTTGGATATTTTCTCCAAGTCATGCCAGTGTGTTGGGAAATTAGCAGGCAGATAGACTGACTTGTTCTGCACCACTTGGTGTGGAACTGATGTTTGACAAGCTGGATGTTGTGAGGGCCCTTTGGGAGCTAGTGAACAGTGCCAAGGAACAAATAGATCATTACGGCCTGAGGAGAATGGCACTGCTAGGAGTTACAAGGGCATCTGGCTGACGCTTGACACTTAGGGGGAAAGGCGAGACAGATATACAATCAGACAGTTACTGACAGTTACTGACAGTTACTGATACCATCAGAATTTTAACTCTTTGCTTGCTGCTGAAGATGGGGACTGAGCAGTTATGGGGATGTCCCATGTGCTGTGATGTTGATTCTTAATTCAACATTCAACAAGTGTTTTAACAGTCTCTAGTTAATTTTCTGCAACGAGATCAATGTGATCTGTATATCCAAGTATTCTTGTAGATTCTCCAATATTCAAACCTTTAAACCTGACAGTTGTTATTTAAAACAGAAAGCTGCCTTGGCAGACAGAACTGAGTGTTATATTTTGTTTGAAGCTGTTTCATTAGACATCACTTTGTGTTAATTGTTAATGATAAAACATGTTATAATACTGATGGATAAAGAAAGTCTAGTTATTGAACATTTTGTCTTCAGATCACTGTTGTATGGGATATTGCTTAGACATGTTGGCAATAATTGCAGAAAAAGTTCAGTTTAATTTCACCATTCATCTCAGCAAAGATGGTCTCTTTGGTTCATTTGAAAAGGTAAAGTGAAATCATTTAGCTTCATTTTTATATAGTATTTAAATGGTGATAATAAGTAGTAGTAGTTTTTTGCATAAATATTATCACTTTTAACCCTCAGGGTTATGACTGGGATGTATGATGTCCATACTATTTTCAGTGTATTCCTTTTGCAATGACTCTCTTCTTTATCTTTCTGGCTCTAGTCACTGCAGACTACTCTTTCACATCCCGACATCAACATGACTAGTAGAAATGGACGACAGCGAACAACACAAACTGTTTCATACTTTATTCTTCCCCTTGCTGTTTCCTCAGCCAGTACATGAAATAGGACAGGTCTAGGGTTGATGCAAACAATGAGGCTAAATGTCAACATTACCTGCACTCATCAAAACACATCCGCTCATTCCAAAATAACACTGTAGTACACAATTCAGTTGGCAGACAAAGTTTCCCTCTTCATTCGTTGCTGTTTGGCCAGGTAGGGTGTTTGAAGCGACATTCAGACTTAGACATATTCTGGATCCACAAACACTCCTCCGTTCTTCATGTACTCCGTTTCTTGGCCCAAACGAGACTGCCCAAATGCTCTTTCTAAGGCATTATATAACCTATAAACGCCCACATTACAATTACGACTTTTTCGTGTTTTCCGATTCACATGGGTTTCATTTGGCCAACATTTTCTCCGTGATTCACACAGGTTTCATTTGGCCAGCATTATGTCCGTGACTCATGTCGCTGCCCTTGTTACACTTAAATATCGCATTCATATTTATTAGCTGACGTCATTCCGTGTGGGACATAATTTATCGAGGAGAAAATGGTTCACTAAATTTTTTGATTAAGTTTTTTCAAGGTTTCATAGTAAGTACTGTTAAAAATTATTCTTCTTCTTCATGTTCACCATCTGTAAACTCCAGCAGAAAGTTCTGGTTGTTCAACCATTTAAGGTTCAAGATTTGTTCCAGAAGCTGAGTGTTGCATGCATATCCATTTTACAGATCTGAGTCTGTAAGCAGACTGTTGGTTCCTTGTCTGATGACAGATGCACTCCAAATTTTAAGGAAACCCCCAATTAGTCAACTTCTATGACATGCTTGCTGGGGAGGCAGTGGGTCTCTTCTTGTTTTTCCCACAATGAGGCCCTGAAAAGAGGATGTGTTTAGAGCAGGTTTCTGCATAAATGTTATAATGCTTACCTTCACAGGTCTGCAGGATACAGGTGGCTGGTGTAGACATTCCTCATTCTTTCATGTGCCTTCTCAACAATGAAGGTTGGCCACAGTGTACCACCATACAGGAAGAGACCTGTAATCTATACCATTATAACAATACTATATAGAGCACTATTTGCTGGAGTGTTGGAAATATGAAAACCAAAGGATAACATTGGCTGACTACATGAATCTCTGTAAATTACCTATGATGATGGAAAACTTGCAGCACATAAACGGAGATGCTTGGCAAGGTCAAGCAATTTATTGCTAGGACTAAAATCCATATCTTTGAAGAAGTTTCTCCTAAAGATAAAATCCTGGAGAATAATCAGTGAGTACACACTAAGGCAACAATATAACCTCCATGATAATGACACAGTGTTATAAGATTGTCTAATTATTCATAGTACAACTTCCATTTCACAAATCTGATTTATTTGAGTGCAGACTGTTGGTTCCTTTACTCTCAGGCAGACGTACTTAAACTTACAATTGCAGCTCCCAGTTAGATTCCTACAACATGCTTGTTTGGGGAGGCAGTGGGTCTAATCTTGATTTCCCCCACAATAGGGCCACGAAACCTGTAAAGGGAACAGTAGAAACGTAAACGTAAACATTAAGCACAGGATGCTAGATAGGTAAATCAGTATTTGATGGGTTATGGGGTCAGCATTATGTCAGCCACCTTTACTTCCTTGTATATTCCTGGTATCAGTTTTAGGCTGGGTTGACATTGGAAATCTAGATCTGTTATACATATCTGTTTTGATGCAGATTCAAACCAAAGACTTTCAGTCAGTAATAAATAATAGTAAGTTGCTAGTGTTAGTATATTATTTTCTGTCTGCAAACATATCACATTCTTGCATGAATCTATAGGTAGGTAGGTAACTAGTTGTACCCCACCAGGACATCACACAAGGGATAAACACCCGGTGACACAAAGTGCCACCATGGGGATGAGGATCACCCGTGGAGATGTCCCAGGAACCCCTTTTAGTCGTTAGGCCATATCTATGCCCCGGCTATATTCAGGGCCTCTTGCAATAGCCAGGGGGAGGCTTCAAAATAACAAAACATTGCATCCCACAAGGGGATGACCTAATATTATAGCAATGATGGATCTATACATAGTAGTAGCAATTGAAATAACCATTCTTGTTCAACCCATTCAGGTTATAATTGGGATATATCGAGTTTTTTAAATTTCCTTTCTAATAATGGGTAGTTATGCCTATCAGTTATGCTTGGTTATTTAATATTGCATGGCTTATGTATCAATTATATAAAAATGTAGGAGTATGGATTGTCAAGTTTGATCTATTTTAAGCATACTTTCAAACAGTTATAGCAATTATACTGTGTAGTCTATTTTTAGAAATATTTAAAGTGATATGGGATACCATAATTCTGTCGTAAGATATATTAAATCTCAGATACTAACTCCAGTTCTTGTGTGACACTGTTTAATCCTTCCCTATAGTTCTCTAGAACCATCTACTCCCAGCATGTTTTCTATTATCATAGGCTTATTGCAGTAGATTATATATTCATTAAGAGGAGTCCTTTAGAGTTCATATTTCTTGCAGTACAGTAAATAATGCTCAATATTTTTCTGGGTCTGACATACACTGATCTTAGCTTGGCTTGCTCTGGGGAAAAAATATCATCATGTTCAACCAGAATTCCTGACGTGGAAGCTTTAGGTTATAACTGTGACTAGGTTATGTGTGCCATATAAAATGGCTTAGCACGGCACACCACCAAGCAGCCCTGAAAAGTACTCTTGCAGAGTTGATGTGATTAAAGGAGACAGAACCAAATACTCTCCCAACAGGCGATGAAGTCGTCTGCTGGTGAGCAAATAGCAACCCAGTTGTCTAAGATACTGTAAGTAAGTAAGTAAAGGACCGTTTTCCACGCCTTTAGGCATATAGGGCTAGACCTATATTTGATAGACCAATCGGCACACGATGGGTGATGTGGTCAGCATTACGCCAGACACCTTTACTTCCCAGGACTGCACCCGGTACCCTCTCAAGGCTGGGTTGACCTGGGAGCCAAGGTCATTTTTTTTTTAAAGTCTGGCTCCGCCAGGGAGTAAACGCACGACCATCCGATCTGCAGGTGAGCGTCTAGCTGCTACCCACAGCGACTCCTGTCTATAATACAGTGGTATCATATATATCTATATACATGTGTGTGTGTGTGTGTGTGTGTGTGTGTGTGTGTGTGTGTGTGTGTGTGTGTGTGAGCTGCTAGTGTTGTATGTTTTATTGCTAGCAGCATAACGGATCTGACAAGAAACACTGGAATGGCATGATGGGAGAACTGATGAGACAGGAAGCAGACCTAATTGTTGCACCATTAACGATCAATCCAGAGAGAGCTAATGATATTGACTTCACTAAGCCATTCAAATACCAGGGACTGAACATTCTTGTTAAAAAGGTATTTTCTGGTTTTCTGCAATTTTTTTTATTTTTTTTTATTCATATTGCATGCTTTTCATTTAAAAATTGAGCATAGATTTACAACTACTTTGAACCATGATAATCTGTTTACATTTACAGTCTATGCAGTATTAAACAACATATAAGTATTAAACAACATAAGTATTAAACAACATATAAGTATTAAACAACATATAAGTATTAAACAACATATAAGTATTAAACAACATAAAAGTATTAAACAACATATAAGTATTAAACAAAATATAAGTATTAAACAACATATAAGTATTAAACAACATAAAAGTATTAAACAACATATAAGTATTAAACAACATATAAGTATTAAACAACATATAAGTATTAAACAACATATAAGTATTAAACAACATATAAGTATTAAACAACATTTAAGTATTAAACAACATATAAGTATGAAACAACATATAAGTATCAAACAATATATAAGTATTAAACAACATATAAGTATTAAACAACATAAAAGTATTAAACTACATATTAGTATTAAACAACCTTAGATATCCAGTATAAGAAAAAATAGAAAAACTCTACATATCCAATTTAAGATCCAGAAGAGATTAATAAGATATCAGTTATAAAATAAAGGTAAAGGTCCCTTTTCCAGGCCTTTAAGCGTATGGGCATATAGAGCTAGACTATATTTTTATAGACCAATCAGCACAAGATGGGTGATGTGGTCAGCATCACACCCGCCACCTTTACTTCTCATGACTGCATCCGGTACCCACTCGAGACTGGGTTGACCTGGGAGTCAATGTTATTTTTTTTTAATGTCCGGCTCTGCTAGAGAGCAAACCAACGACTTTCTGATCTGCATGTGAGTGTCAAGCCGCTTCGCCACTGTGACTCCCTATCAGTTATTACATTACTGTCTTTCACCCTGTCAGATAAAGAACACCCCCCCCCCCCCCCTCCCCCTAAAACCATGGAAATTCCCCAAACATCCACTTTAAAAAAAAATTTGATACAGGTCACTAATAATGGATTTTAACACTTTTGTTATCTTCTTCTTCTTAAAGTCCGTGCAGGGTGGCGTTGGTGGTCATGTCTATCCACAGCCTTTTGTCTAATGTACTTTCAATCAGCTCTGACACAGATGATTCTTTATGCCATGATATCACTGTCCAGCATCTTTTCTCTCGGTCTCCCTCTGCCTCTTCTCCCCTCCAACTTTCCTACAGTCACAATGTACTCCAGTTTTCTCATTCTCATCAAATGACCAAAGAATGTTGATTGTCCCTTTTTGATGTGAGCGATCAGTTCTCTTTGTGAGTCGGATTCTTTCAGAACATCTTCATTACTCTTTTTATCTGTCCAGGGTATTCTCATCATTCATCTAAAAAATCACATCTCTGCAGCTTCCAAATAATTTTTCACTAATCTATCAACTGTACATGATTATTTATCTATATTTTATGAATTTGTGTTTATTTGCTGGAAATACATACAGATATACAAAAAAAGTACTTAACAAACATGAACAGAGTGGGTGCTAAAAACATATGTATTGGGTGACTCATGCCATGATCCTGTAACCTCTATCATTAAGGTTACAGGACAATTTGACATCACTCTGACTTTTGACAAAGCCTTTTGTTTACAAGTAAAAAAAAAAAAGTAAAGTAAAGATCCCTTTTCACGCCTTTCGGCGCATTGGGCATATAGGCAGAGCGTCCCATATTTTTACAGACCATCAGCACTCTGTGGGTAATGTGGTCAGCATTACGCCGGCTGTCTTTACTTTCCCAGGACAGCCCATCCTGGTACCCATTTTTAGGCTGGGTCGACCTGCGAGGTCCCATACCATGACAAAAATCCACACAGCCTGCAGTGGGTTTCGATCGCGGTATGCTGGCTCACGAGTCGGACTCGCAACGCCTTAGCCTTTGTTTACAAGGAAACCCCCAAATTCTTTTATAGTAAATATATTCATATCCTGAATGGCTAAGCACTGCACAGGCACAAACAGAACCAATGGTGTTTAACTACACTTCTTGAAAATATGACACCGCATTTGTAGGGAATGTGAAGTAATGAGATTTAGACTTCTTGGGTGAAATGGTTAACTGTCTTTACTGCCTGTATTTAGAATTATTTCTTTTTTTTTGGGGGGGGGGGGTGGGGGGGGGGGGCGGCATGAGCCTGAGGATTTGAGACCTCATGGTTAATGCAGTTGCCAAAAACTGCAAGTTCGAATTTTTAAGGACCAGGTAATGTCCTAGGAAGTAAAGATGGCCTGGATGATATTGACGACATCACCAACTGTATGGTTACTGGTCTATAAAAATAATTCTAGCAGCACATACCTGATACACCACTGATTGTTTCCTTTTTCTTTTCTTTTAATACATATACATACATAATATATCTATCTTTTAAACAGACTCAAAAGGATTCCAGTTTAGCCTCTTTCCTGCAACCATTTCAAGATACTCTCTGGATACTGGTGGGTCTGTCTGTGCATGTTGTGGCTCTAGTTCTGTATCTCCTGGATCGCTTCTCTCCGTTTGGTCGGTTTAAACTGGCCAAAAGTGATGACACAGAGGAGGATGCTCTCAACCTGTCCAGTGCCATGTGGTTCTCATGGGGTGTGCTTCTCAACAGTGGTATCGGTGAAGGTGGGTTCTCATGGGTTGTGCTTCTCAACAGTGGTATGGGTGAAGGTAGGTTCTCATGGGGTGTGCTGCTCAACGGTGGTATCAGTGAAGGTGAGTTCTCACGGTGTGTGCTGCTCAACAGTGGTATCGGTGAAGGTAGGTTCTCATGGGGTGTGCTGCTCAACAGTGGTATCGGTGAAGGTGGGTTCTCATGGGGTGTGCTGCTCAACAGTGGTATCGGTGAAGGTAGGTTCTCATGGGGTGTGCTTCTCAACAGTGGTATCGGTGAAGGTGAGTTCTCATAGGGTGTGCTGCTCAACAGTGGTGTCGGTGAAGGTGAGTTCTCATGGGGTGTGCTTCTCAACAGTGGTATCGGTGAAGGTGAGTTCTCATAGGGTGTGCTTCTCAACAGTGGTGTCGGTGAAGGTGAGTTCTCATGGGGTGTGCTTCTCAACAGTGGTATCGGTGAAGGTAGGTTCTCATGGGGTGTGCTGCTCAACAGTGGTATCGGTGAAGGTAGGTGGGGGTTTGTTTCTAAACATTGATCTCATGATTTCTATATGTGTAGTCACTTCCATTACCAGTAACTAGAAATTCCCACGTTAGCTGTTCTGCAGAGGGAGAAATCAAGCTAACTGGATACACACAGGCCAATAAAGTAGATACTCTCAACTTTTAACCTTCACCAAATTCATGAAAACGTTGTCACCCTAACATCTGTTCTCTTATTAATATTATTCTTTTTAGCATTCACCAACTGTAAACTTCAGTGGAAAGTTCTGGTTGTTCATCTACTCCTGCACTTTAGTCTTGTTCCAGAACTTGAGATTAGCATATACATCCATTTCACAGATATTGCCTGTGTGCAAACTGGTGGGTTTTTTTTCCAACTCCCAGGCAGATGCAATCTGACTGTGAAGGAAACACCCCTGATTAGTCACCTTTTATGACATACTTGTTTGGGTGGGAAGAGGAAAGGGAGGACTTTGGATCTTTTCTCCAGACCATGCTGGTGTAGTGGGTAATGAACAGGCAGACAGACTGGCTGGAGCTGCACGGCTGGGTGGGGAACTGATACATGACAAGGCAGATGTGGTCAAGGCCCTTTGGGGACAAGCAACCGAACCAGTAGAGATAGAAGATTATTATGAATTAGAGAGAATGAGGTACCTGGGTGTAATCAGAGTGTCTGGCCGGCTTACTACTCTCAGAAGAAAGACAAGACGGACATATGATCAGACTGTGACTGTTACCATCAGTATTGGAACTCTGCCCTGGCTGCTGAAGATGAAGACAGAGCATGCATGGGAATTCCCCGAGTGCTGTGATGTCAATTCTTGACTCAACTCAACTCAACTCAAGGAGGAGGGTAGATGTTGTTAGCAAGAGGTCTATTCTTTTTTTCTTCACAACAGAGCCCTGGAATCCACACAGGAATGTTCTGTTATTTTTAATGAAGTTCTTGGTTTTGATTTCAATTTTTCAACTGTAAATCCTCTACTTGATCTCTGTTATTTTTAAATATCAGTTTGAAGGACATCATTAAAACACTTACCGCAACATGCAAGACGGACATATAACCAGGTTACAGCTGGTACTATCAGTATTGGAACTCTGTGCTGGCTGCTGAAGATGAGGATGGAGCACATATGGGAATGCCCCGAGTGCTGTGGATTCTTGACTCAACTCAACTCAACTTACCACATCATAAAGTTTGAGAATGGAGGTGGAGATAGTAACTGCGATCCTTTCAATAGCTTGAGAATCAGCTGTACACACGTCATAATTGTAAATGACTCACAGAGCATGCTGAGAAAGGTGGAGGCCAGTAGGCAAAGTGGCAAGCATTGCTTCAGAGGTCTTGGGCAGTTAGCCCCCTTTGGATATTTTCTCCACAAAATGTGGGTGTATTAGGAAATGAACAAGCAGATAGACTGGCTGGTTCTGCACAACTTGGTGGTGAAATGATGAATGACCTGGTGGATGTAAGGGCCCTTTAGTGAACAGTGCAGAAGCATAGATGGATCATCATGGTCTGAAGAGAATGGCGCTGCAAGGAGTGACCAGGGGATCTGGTTAATGATCAGCACTCAAGGAAAGGCAATATGGAAATACAATCAAACTGCTGTTGGTACCACTAGAATTGGAACTCTGTGCTTGCTACTGAAGATGGGGATGAAGCACTTATGGAAATGTTCTGAATTCTATAATGTCGATTTTTAATTAAACATTAAACATTAAAATACTTTTGCTTACATTTGGCAGGTACTCCTAGAAGCTTCAGTGCTCGAGTCCTTGGAATGGTGTGGGCAGGTTTTGCAATGATCATTGTGGCTTCTTACACAGCCAACCTGGCAGCTTTTCTGGTCTTGGACAGACCTGAAGCTCTGATCTCTGGTATTGATGACCCAAGGGTATGTTTTAGAACATTTGTAACAATTAAAATTGTGCTCTTCAGTGATTTTATAATTGTGAAATTCATAGCTCAGTTGTAAATGAATTTTAACTATTTTATGATCTTGAGTAGGATGGTTTAATTTTTGCCAGGACAGTTTCTATCCCCCCCCCCCCCCCCCGATCTTTTTTGGTGATTTTTGATTATATGGTTCCTGATTATATCTCACCATGTTCTATTTTCAAAGACAGCAATAGGTACACTGTAGCTAACTTTCACCTTAGAGATGACACAATCCTTTCTTTGTACAAAAGGGCTTTACAAAACCTGAAATGTATGATAGAAATTACAATAACCGTGCCATTGTCTTGGAACCTGTCAGTATTGTTGTTAAGGATGTCAAGATAGTTAAGCACATGAAATCACTGTGCAGACAAACATAGCGACATCATAATGACAGTTTAAAGATGGCAACTCCACTTTAAATTAGTAAAGGGGTGAAACCTATACACATTCATCGGCAAATGAAGATCAAGTAGGACTGTGTATGCTTGTCAGTCCAGCAGGTGTATGAGTTGAGTAGGATGGGTCCAAATGAAGTGACTTTTGTGACAGACTATTCATGACTGGGTCTGGCACACTGAGTAAACACCCTGAAGTGGATTGTAGCCATTTTGAAACTTCCTATTCCACTCACACCTTGCTCAACAGATAGGCATTCATCACCATACTAGACCTTCTTTAACCGATAACTTCAACAATCATTCATCTGCACTGTTACTTCATGTGCTTAGCACTTTTGACATCCTTGACAACAATATTGACAGGTTTTAAGACAATGGCATGGTTTTTGTAATTTCTATCACATTTTTAACATTTTCATTTGCAGTTTCCTTGTATTTTAGAAAGTTGGAACTCAATGGATGTTGCGTCAATATCATGAATACCATCTTTATTTCCCAAAACACTCCTGGTATCATTTTCAGCTTTGAATTTCCCTGGAAATAGTCATGCACCATGTCATTTGACAGTGATACCCCAAGCCACACAATGCATGAAATAAAGTCATGACCCCTGGAGTGCGAGGCAAATGGTTTAACCACTTATTGACACAGACCACTGTTTAACTTTGCTCTGAGTTTCATCTTCTCCTTCTGCATTTGGAGCTCTGGAGATTCATTGCTGTTGATATCATCCACCTTAATTTAGCTCTGGGTTTGGCCACCTCTTTCCAGTTGGTGACTCCATGTGTTTGTATTAACACTGATTTTGACTGTATAAACCTGCTCACATTTTAGATTTCTAAAATTTGAAGTAATATTTACCTGCCTAGTTTATTTATATACCAGATTAACTATTCTATATTCTAAGCTTCGTAACCCAAATGAGAAGTTCAAGTACGCCACTGTAAAAGGAAGTGCCGCTGAGATGTATTTTAAACGGCAGGTCGAGCTTTCAACTATGTACAGAAATATGGAGAAACAGAAGACTTACTTTACCGCAGAGGCTGCTATTGAAGATATTCGCAAGGGGTAATATGTCTTTTTTCTCACATTCTGTTTTATGTATTTACTTCTTTTAATGTTTTTTAAGAATCAGTTGTACACAGGTGTTGTAACTGTAACTGACTCACAGAGCATGTTGAGAAAGGTGGAGACCGGTAAGCTCCGGGTAGAGTAGCAAGCTTTACTTCAGAGGTCCCGGGTAGTCAGAGTCCTTTGGATATTTTCTCTAGATCATGATGGTGTGTTGGGAAATGAGCAGGCAGATTGACTGGCTGGTTCTGCACAACTCAGTGGTGAACTGATGCAGGGGGGGGGGGGGGCCTAGTGAACAGTGCAGAGGGACAGATGGATGTTCATGGTATGAGGAAAATGGCACTGCAAGGTGTGACCAGGAAATCTGGCCGATGATCAACACTTAAGGGAAAGGAAAGACAGATGTAATCAGACTGTTGCGGTATCATTAGAATTGGAAATCTGCATTTGCTGTTGAAGATGGAGACAGAACACTTATGGAAATGGCCAAAGTGCTGTGATGTTGATTCTTAATTAAACATTAATTTATTCTTACAAACAGCTTCTTATTCTCTTTCTATGTTCATTCTAAAAAGGGTGGTTAACAGCTGAGCTACAATAGCTGCCTTTTTGTCCAAAACAAAACTTCTGGCCTAAAATGGAGGATGAGGCATGGCAGAAGTTTAGTGTTGAAATTATTTATGCTTTAAACAGTGGTTTGCTTAAGCAGTTTCCACATATGGTCAGTAGTCTACAGTTTCGCTGCCTGAGCTCCTGAGTTTAGTGCGTGGTGCAGCCCTGTGAGCTGTGTTTTTCCTGTGGAATGCTTTTTATTTGTGCAGCGGTTGTGTCGCGATATTCAGTATGGCCAGTAGCTGGTTTATGTGTAAGCTGGTGAAATACCTTATATAGTAATTCTATGTTTGTATGCCAGCTTTTTGTGTCTGACTACCTCCATCAGTGACAAACTGCATTTCTGGTGTCGACTGTTGGCTTTAGCAACTGAAATTTGCATTTATTGCATGTGTATGTTTCTGGATTGTTCCAGGACTAATTGTTTGCTCACCAGTTTTTCAAATGCGACAGTGAGGGACATTTCATTTGATTTGCACTGGCACAGGAACGAAGCAAGTATGAGAAAACCCGATTGCAGTTAAGTTGAAACCTCGACTAAGAGTGAGACTAATGTCCAAAACATCAGATTTCAGCAAACCTACTATTTAGTCATCTGTTATGAAATGCTTGCTGAGGAACTATAAGTCTAGTCTCTTTTTCCCCCTAAATTTGGTCCCTGTAGACTAAAACGTGAATTGAAGTGTTCATTTGAGAGCACAACAGCATGACCCTGGTGGTGTTAAAGAATGGGTGATAAAGGCTGAGCAACTTTTAATGAACACAAACATTACTAGAAAGCTTGTTAAAATAGAGCTGTGAGTATTGTTTTTTTCCTTTCATACTTAGTATTTACTTACTTAGTTACTCCTCTCCTACTTTGGTGTGTAGAGGTTTGCCAAAGAGATTATTTTAGCTTTTTTCCAGTTGAGTCCTTTGTCAGTCAGTGACTGATTAATTTTTTCTTGCCAGTGAACCCAGAGTCATCCTTAAGGTCTGGTTCCCTGGTTCTTGACCTTGCATACCTGCCAGGGTGGACAATTTTCTCCCTTTCTGCATATATGTCCAACCATGGTTACTGTGACAATCCACTCGAGTTTGTATTGCCTGGTTTTCAAGATTTTGATGCATTGTCTGATTAAATAGTTTGTAATTTTTTGTCACTTGGACCACGTTTCTCAGTCACCTCATTTCTGAGTCCCCAAGTTGGTGTTTGTGAGCTGTTGTCATTGTCCATGACACTCACTGAGTTTTATAATCATATTTTGTGTTCATTTACTTTTCAGCATTTCTTTTTATTCTAGTGTCACTGCAATGTGAAGTTGGTGATCTTGTCTATCCACAGCCCTTTGTCTCATGTACTTTCAGTAGTTTCTGACACAAACGATCTTCCTTGCCTTCATGTCAAACTGTCTGGCATCTTTTCTCTAGTCTTCATTTGCTTTTTTTTTTCTTTCTCTACCTCTTTTCCCACTCTAACTTTCTCACGATAACAGTGTACCCCAGTTTTCAGCTTCATATTATGTGACCAAAGAAAGTAGACTGTCTCCTTTTGACGTTGGTTATCAGCATTTTTATTTTACATCAGCATATTAATGTGTCCCTTGCATTCTTCAGCGAATTGCAAGCCTTTATCTGGGACTCACCTCGTCTGGAGTATGAAGCAGCCTATGACTGTGATTTGACCACAGCTGGTGACCTCTTTGGCCGCTCTGGGCTTGGAATTGGACTGCCAAAGAATAGTCCCTGGACACATGAAGTGTCAAAAGCAGTTCTTGAAATGCATGAAAGTAAGACATTGCAAATGTTTGATAGATGACAATTCTTTTTTTTTTTTTTTTTCAAGTAATCTTTAATTTTCTTTTAATATTTTTAAGAAGATGACATTGCTCATGTTATTAATATTTGTGGTTCAGCTGTTTGACTTTTTCTACTCCAAGATTATACCATGTGTGATCAGCTATATTTTTTGGTGGATCAAACACCAGATAATGCATAATTATATCTTTTACATTTAGCCTGAGCATAGTAAGGAAATCTGACCAGACATATTAACCCTTTCGCTGCTACGTTCCCAGAAATAGTTGTCCTCCCTGTGCTAAGCAATGTGAAAAAAAAAGTCTCTGCTGTGCGCAATACTTTTCTATCCTCTAAAAGCAAAAGATGCGTCCGCGGTGAGGGCTATGTTTTGTTCACCTAAAAAATTTTACCCTGGGGAGTTGTGTGGTTGGTCCGAGTGGTGACAAGTCAGAGGCACGATGGTGTCCCACAAACTTGACTAAGGGGGGGGGGGGGGGGGGGGGGGGGGGGGGGGGGGGGGTGGGGGGGTGGGGGGGTGGGGGGGGGGGGGGGGGGGGGGGTGGGGGGGGGGGGGGGGGGGGGGGGGGGGGGGGGGGGGGGGGGGGGGGGGGTGGGGGGGGGAGGGTGGGGGGGGGGGGGGGGGGGGGTGGGGGGGGAGGGGGGGGGGGGGGTGGGGGGGGTGGGGGGGGGGGGGGGGGGGAAATTAATGGGAGGAACTGTTCCCAGTACGTATCCCAAAATTTGATTGCCGAATCTACCACGGCTGCCACTTTAATCATATTTACTTGTAGTCACCATGTTATTACATACCAAAATATTTTTAAAAAAATATTCATAATAATATACTCAAGTCGTCCGTTGCTGAAAAGTAGCAGGAACTCAAGGGAAAATTTACAATTAATGAAAAAAAAAAAAAAAAAACTTCGGGGGTTGAACACACGACCCTCCGATTCTAAGGCGAACGTGATACCAATTACACTATGCTACCACTGGACGAATTGCGCTGTGTAAATGATCATAATGAATGATGTGCACAGACTATCAATAATGTGTCTAAGTTTGTAGTCTATCGCCGCCTGCATGAGCACTGTTGTCTAAGAAATGTTTGAGATTCTCAACAATAGTAAAAATATGTCCCTCGACATTATTTTACGGGAGTTTTTAGCAAACAGTCTTTGCTCAAGTACTCTATTTTGAGTTTCTTTGTTCTAAGCATTAGCAGACAGACAGAAAAAAAATTAGTTCGTCCGAATCTGTGTCTGTCCATCGGAAAAGACGAAAAATTTTAGTGACTTAACTGTTTGAATTTACAGTAGCAGAAATACAGATAGAGCTGGAGTCACCAAAATTATGTACTACTGGTTTCAAATCATCGATTCATCAAGACAACTGATCAATTTATTGCCGTTTTGATGGCGCTTCATTGTCGCTGCTCTCTGATTCCGACGACGAGGACGTCGGACAGGCAAACAGCTTTTTTTGGACACGCCGGTTTCAGCAGTCGATACTGATGGCCTAGTCAAATCTTCTTGTACACTGTCAGAAGTACACATTTCAAAGTCATCGTCGCTATCACTTTGACAGAAAACTCCATCAATTCTTCATCAACTTTAACAAGTTTTCTTGCCATTTTGTACTAAGTGTAGAATAATCCAAAAGCACAAATATATATCAGGGCACAAAATACACAGATCACCGACACGCTGTCACGGTAAACAAAGCAACGGGCTATCGCAAAATGCATAAAACACGCCTTAAAACACACCTAAAAGTACGTGCCAGTGCTTTTAATCATATGTAAATGGGTCAGTTTAATCTAAATATAGCTAATGTATATTGCCCTTCAGCCAATTAAATACGAGGGTAACAGAAATCTGTAAGAAAAGTCCAAAAACGGCTTAGGACGTCCATAGCACTGGGGGTCAGGAAAAAAAATAACGTCCAAAGACGGGCGTAGCAGCGTACGGGAAATCGGGAAAAGACTTCCATAGCAGCGAAAGGGTTAATATACCACACCCAAAATGTTGCCACTTTGAAACTGATACACCGATTCTATTTCATTGTGGTTAATATTCAATTTGTGAATCATCTTGGAAATCTTATGTTGCTGAAAGAGTAAAGATTTACTAAATATCTCTCAGTGTATTTTTCTGCTACTCTTGCCAAGTTTTTTCTTACATAAGGCTCTATGTATCCTCTGAGCTTTGAATTGAGATGGGTAATGAGCTGTGAGTTGGGTTATCTTCAAGGCACTCTAGACACATCCATAGGTGCTTCAGATTTCCCCTTTAATACATACATCAGCATCCCATGGTTAATAGTGCTAGTTCTATGCCTCTTCTTGTTGATTTGTTTTCTTTATGATTTGGTTTGGCAAACTTCCTCAGTAAACAGTTTGAATGCTGGTTCCAGTTTCCCACTTTATGCTCATTATGTTTCACTCACATCCGTATAGAAGAACTGGTCATGCACAATTTTCAATAAGCTTAATTTTATGCTTGTGATATTTCTAATAATAAGCAATCCTTTCTTTCTTTTCTTTCTTTTGTCAATATCTGTGTATGCAGTTCATCAGATGATCAGCAGCCGAGCCAGGGCGCGCT